CAAGAAGAATGAAGTCCTTGACAACTTCAATCTTTTCTCCGTTGATAAGAATGTTGTTTATTGGTCCAGTGGTGAGGATTTTTCTTTTCCTTCCATTGAGATGCAATCCATACCGAAGACTGTGGTCTATGATCTTCATCAGTAAGAGACACTGTAGCTCTTCCTTTCTTGCCATCATATGAGTGCACTGCTATCTTTCATGTTCACTATGTCTTCTCATATAAGACTTTCAGAACCAAGGTATTCCTAGCCAAGAAACAAAAGCAGAAGCATCCCATTCCCTAATGGAGTCGAATGAAAACCAGTGATGACATCAGGTAGAACTCCAAGAGAAGACACTAGAGAAGAAGAGAGCCAAGCTGGGCCCATAGGAGCGGCACAGTAATGGCACACACTGTGCTTCTAGTTCTCTACCATGTGAAGTTCAACTTTGCCAAGATCTTATCAAATGAACATGAATCTGATCCTTTGAACTTGTACAATACTACAAAACCTCTGGTTTTTTCCTTTGTTTTTAAACTTCCTCATTAAAAATGTTGGCTAATAAATAAATGAATAAATGAAACCTTTGGTTTGAGAAAAAAAAAAAAAAAAACAGGCATTATATACAATAAACAATTTTAAAAAAAGGCAATTGTCCCTGAATTGATTCTGACTCATGGTGAGAAAGATGAGGTGGTGTGTTCCCGTAGAGATTTACAGCCTTGGAAACCCTTTATAGTGTTGCTGTGAGTCAGAACCGACTCCATGGCACACAGCAGCGGTATGGTGACTTACCCTGTGTGTGTCAAAATAGATCTGGGCTCTCTAGATGATGTAAATGGTTAATGCGGTCAGCTGCTAGCCAAAAAGTAGGAGGTTCAAGCCCAGTCAGAAGCACTTCAAAGAAAGGCCAGGTGGTCTACTTCCAAATACCCAGCCATTAAAAACCTGATGTTGTTAAGTGCCATCGAGTTGGTTCCAACCCATAGAAACCCTGAACAGGGTTTCCGAGGGAACAGAAAGTCTCATCTTTCTCCCATGGAGCAGCTGGTAGTTTTGAACTGCTGACCTTGTGGTTCACAGGCCGATTTGTAACCATTACACTACCAGAGCTCCTTATGGAATACAATTATATATACAGGACTCCTGGTGTGGTGCTGCAGAATCAGCATTGGACTATGAAACATGATTGGCAGTTCCAACCCACAAGCTGCTCCTTGGAAACCCTATAATACAGGGTCGTTATTAGTCAGAACCAAGTCAAAGGCACCTCACAACAACGACAAATTATGTATGTATGTGGATGGATAGAGAGGTAGATAGATAGAGAGAGAGAGAGAGAGATTGTGATGTGCCGTTGAGTCTGTACCAACTCATAATGACTTATGCACAACAGAATGAAACACTGCCCGGTCCTGAACAAGTCACACAATCATTGCTATGCTTGAGCCCATTGCTCCTACTACTACGTAAATCCATCTCGGGGGTGTTCCCCTTCACCGACTCTCCACTTTATTTAAGCATGATTGATGTCCTTCTCCAAGGACTGGTCCCTCCTGATAATATGTCTGAAGTATGAGAAATGAAAGGAGCTCTGATAGCATAGTGGTTATGAATCAGGCTGCTAACCTCAAGGTCAGAAGTTTGAAACTACCAGCCATTCCCCAGGAGAAAGATGAGGCTTTCTGCTCCCATAAAGATTTACAGCCTTGGAAACTCTATGCAGGGTCACTATGAGTCTGAGTCAGAACCGACTCCACGCCACATAACCACCATCACCACCATGGGAGACAAAGTATGGTCATCCTGGCTTCCAGAGAGCAATTTTCCAGAGAGCAAACACAGTTTATTCTTTTTGTAGTCCATGATATTTTCAATATTTTATTCCAACATCATAACTCAAATGCATCAATTTTCCTATGGTCTTCTTTATTCATTGTTCAGCTTTCACATGCATATGAGGTTATTGAAAATACCATGGCTTGGGTCAGGCACACCTTTGTCTTCAAACTGACATCTTTGCTCTTGAACACTTTGAAGAGATCTTGTGCAGCAGATTTGAGTAATGCAATACGTTGTTTGATTTCTTGGCTTCTGCTTCTTCGAGTGTTGGTGGTGGGTCCAAGCAAAATAAAGTCTTTGTCAACCTCAATCTTTTCTCCATTTAGCTTGATGTTATTTATTGGTCCAGTGATGAGGTGCAACTCATTCTGAAGGCTGTAGCCTTTGATCTTCATCAGTAAGCATTTTAGGTCCTCTTCACTTTCAGCAATCAAAGTTATATCATCTGCATATCTCAGGTATAATGAGTCTCCCTCCAATTCTGATGCCATATTTTTCATATAATCCAGCTTCTTGAATTATTTGCTCAGCATACAGAAAGAATACAACCCTGGCACACACCTTTCCTGATTTTAAACCATTCAGTGTTCCCATGTTCTGTTCCAATAACTGCCTCTTGGTCTATGTACAGTTTCCTCATAAGCACAATTAAGTGTTCCGGAATACTCATTCTCCACAATGTTGTCCACAGCTTGTCATGATCCACACAGTGTAAAGCCTTTACATATTCAATAAAGCACAGGTATTTTCTGCTTTCAGCAAAGATCCATCTAGCGTTCACAATGATATCCCTAATTCCACGTCCTCTATCGAATCTAGCTTGAACATCTGGAAGTTTCCTGTCAACGTACTGTTGAAGCCATTTTTGAATTATCTTTAGAA